TGCTACGCCGTGTGGCCAGGTAGAAGTTTACCGACGTTTCAGAAGTACTACAGTCCTGAAACGTCGGTAAACTTCTACTAGACTACACGGCGCAAAAACTCCAATTTTCGATATTATCTAATATTTATTATAATAACATTTTTAGAATGACATATTCTAGCGGTGCTCCAACAGCTTAGTAAAGTCTTCAAAGACACCCCCACCCCCCGCAAACTTGGTGTGTGAGCACTAATGCATGTGTATATAAAGAACAGATTCAACAATTTTTTATTCTTAAAATAAACACATTTTAAAATAAAGTTTAATGCGGATATGAACATTTTACAGAGCCGGGCCTATTGAAGTTTCTTATACCCACTTATCGAAATTGGGTTTATAATGCAGCAGCCCATCGGCTACCGCGGATAATATCTATCTGTGCGATTCCCCATTTCTATCAACTTCAGCCAATAGGTGTAATTGATTTATATTTCCAAGATTTTTAATTTCAACATTTTCAAATAGTTTTGTTCTTTTTTAGACGACATCGCAAAGGAATGGTAAACTTTCGTGTCCCGATATAATACAAAACACTAACATTCTTTTGTTTTCCAGATTATAACTACCTCAGTTGGAGCCAGCCTTAATTATTATTAGTGTTCTGTCCGACGACAGGTCCATATGAACAGGATCCTTCCATCCTTTTCTCGGACTGGGACCTGTTCATATACGTTCTTGGCAGATAATCCAGAAGTGGTTTGCCATTGCCTTCTTCTGTGTGTGAATGGAGTAATTGTTGGGATGCCACGGAGAAACCGGGGAAGCCCCCGGAGAAAAACTCCGTGTTGCCTAGACCACGGCCTTGCCCAACACAAGTTATAAATCTGAGCACCACGGGGAATTGAACCCGGGACCCCAGGATTACAAGGCCAGCCTTAATTACGGGCAATAATATGGCATTATAAATTATTTGACTTTTAATTTTCGTATTTGATTGCGTACAATCTTTCTTATGTTTAAAGCTTTGCAGCGAATTTGGCAAAAGTTCGCGGAACACCGGTTGAGAACCACTGACCTAAATCGAGAGATGCTCCTAGTCAGCGACCGTGGTTTTCATATCCCTGTTTTTATATTGAACAGGAGAATAAGGCAGCGCGCTGTTGAGGATTACCACTCAACATTAGGAGACTTCACTTCGCGCCTCGAACAAACCCTGATGAAATATTTCCTGTTACATCAGAATAATTCAATGGCATTGATAAATTCGCGACGTGAATCAGAAACTGCGTCTACCTCTTGACAAGTTAAAATTAAGGGACTGCGACCAAAATCCAACGGCTGAACGAGTAATGTCGGCAGTAAGATGATAAACACGACCGAAGACTTAATTCATTTCCAGGTTTTGACGGAACTCGATGTGTTCGCGGTTTCGAATCTCGCTTGGGGCACTGCCTTATATCAGGTATTTCCTGTGTTGGTATTAGCTTTGCGATGGTTTAATCCGTCTTGCATGGAGTCCTATTCCATGTAATTACAAGACCTAACACAAGAATTTTAAGATATCTCTGTAAGAGACGTAGCTTATAAAATTATCGGTCTCTCAGAAAAATCTCTTAAATATTATATTAAAAGTCCGATAATGAAACCCGACTTTTAAATAGATATTTATTCAAGTTAGCATATTATTAACTTTTAGAGAGTTGTAAAATTTAGATTAACTACGCCATATATATTTTTTGGTGTTTAGGTTACTTGTCGATAAATCAATAATGTACATTCATTCCACAAGACCTCGAATGTCTAGTTTAATCCAAATGTTCACTTCATAATCGGTAAATTAGGGAGAAAGTTTACTACAAGAATTTTACAGATATCGTTCCTTGGATTCATCTCACTCAAACCTACGAATCGCATTTGAGGATTCATAATCTGTATCTAACAAATTGAAGGCTGGGCCATTGCAGGTTCAAAATTTTCAACTGTGGCAGTGTTGAAACTGCACACAAATATTAATGTAGCGACAAGAATTAAGTTAATCATTGACTAACATTATTTGTGGCCGACGTAATGGGAGTGGTTCACTTTATTTCGAACTCCGGAACTGACGAATACAAAGCTATGTCTGATGTATTCTTTTCCAGCAGGTAAACCAATTCTCTATACCAGATAATATTAAATACACATTTATTTAAAAAATTTCTAGCAATGTAAAGTAATATAAAGTCATATCTGCATGCTTTCCCGTGTGTTACAAAAACGTATCGAGTTGTAAAACCACAGTTGTTATTAAAACTTGTGGAAACAGAAATTTGAAACATAAATCAAACTATTGCAACATCCTCTGTCTGGCGCCGAATTTCCCGGCCTTTTGACTAACACCAAGGCACACTTCCCCAGTTTTCCACGCCATTAATTCAATAGATGCCCATCACTAACCAAATCAACATCGCGGACAGAATGCGCATCTCATCCCCCACCCCTTATTGCAAAATTCACCTTCATATATTCATTGTTCTGAAATATGAGTTTAAGAAGTGACTGAAACGTGATGATATAACCACCGCATCTGATGTGCAGGAATTTAACAGCGTACAATAATTTCAGTACGCTCACTAGGAACTTCCATGGGTTGGCAATGGTACTTCAAAAGTTCATTCATAACTGGCGTGGATAGGCTCTTGGAAAACGACAACTTAGATGACCCAAAATGAGATAGGTTAATAACATCAACACGCTCATTACAAAAATAGGTTATGAGGATTGGAAATACATCGAGCTGAATGTCGGCTTTGAACCTTCAGATTCTGTTAATTGATTCATAGTGAATTCAACCACCATTCTTCGGCTGCACTGGTTATACAATTCTTCAAAACCCCGAAGGGACTTTGTGAACACACTGTACAACTTCGGATTAATCTATGTGCAAGGAAGAAATGAATAGTACTTAATATTTCTTAATTATTATATAATAGATTTTAACGGCTACAATTAATTTATATTAAGTTAAACAATCACAGTAATTAAATTTTAAAGAAATTCCACTGATTGTAGCAATAACAAATATAAGAGCCCACAAATAATATTTTAATATTTGCACTGAAATTATATTCGAAACATGGAAACGCGTCGGAACTGATTTTCATAAACGTTCTTCAGGAATACATATGTGTCATACTTATTTGTCTGGTGATCTTAGTTTGTTGAGATGACTATACATACAATATATAATAACGCGAAAATATTCTTATAAGTCAGAATGGTCATGACACGAAGCCACATCAGGAACAATGTTATAAAGAAACTATATGTAATAGGAATAAGTGCCTACCACTCGCGAATGTTTCAGGATTCAAGTATCTGACAGCAATGTTAACAAATAAAGTAAATTTACGTTGAAAACGAGAGAAGAATGAATCAACGGAAGTGTTCATTATTCAATTCGGAAACTGTAAAAAACACCTTCCAGTTTCCAAACTTTGAAGACACGTTTTTCTGAGTATCAAACGCGGTCTCTTACTACGAACGAAGAAAACATGTCTGAAAATAAATTCCATCGAAGAAAGTGAGTAATTCAAGACAATGCGTAAAGAGAAACTTGGTTGAATTATACAGTATCAAAAGCGTAATGTAGCAAACAGGCCGCGAGGGGGCTGGGTATGTGGCTGAATGTTAACATAAAAAATGCACACTGAACTGTGGTGCGGAAACCTTTTATAATGCATCCACTTGGATGACCGAGTGTCTTATGGCCGACTTCAGTATTGACGCTGATGAAGCTGTTGGTTCTGCTACCACGGTGTCATTTACCACGAGTATGTACCTACCTAACGCTAGAAAGAAAGACATAAAAGTTTCATAATACCTTCCAGGACTGTACCTGCTCTGGCGCAGATAATTCATTTCGGTTCATACCACCGATATCCACGCTCATCTGTCACTTTACTTGAAGTTTCCCCGAATAGTCACAAAAGTAAAAATTGGCCCGCAGGTGAGGCTTTGTATTTCATCCAGAATTTTGTCGAGAGCTGTTTCTATTTCGCAGTGTGCAGCTATTTTACCGTGGGAGCTGGTTACATGAACATTACTTCAGTAAATGAAGTGCTGTTGTACTGGCGGTGATGAACAATCTTAATGAATAACACTGCAAAGATGTTCGCACTGGATTTGTTCCGTTCATGTGACGCTCAGCCATATTGTTTGGAAGAAATAACATCAGGGATCGATCTTGCAGTTTGCTATTCCATCGGCTGTATCGTTATTCAGCGTTTATCAGCCATTACTAACAAAAAAACCAGCTATCGGTTCAACCTGGTAATTACACTGAAGCTTGCATTTCTGAGACAGCCTTACCATTTACAATTTTGCTGTGACCTTATAGTTCTTCTCTGCCTTTTGTTTTGTACTACTAAAGCGCGTTCACTGACAAAGTTCAAAGTTATAGTCACTTCCCGGCTCAAGGCGGGAACTGCGAAAAAAACAAAAGTTTATTTCATTGTCTCTATGGAGCGACAATTGACTCATATCGGGAAAACCTTCCAGAGCTTCACGGAGATTTATGCAGTTCCAGCTGGAAGCCTAGAAGCGACAGTTACATTCAAATTTATCGGTGAATTCATTGGAAAATTTACTGACGGAAGGGCAAAGTGTTCACCAATGTTCTAAGTACACCTGTCACTTAACATCTCATGGATGATACAGCGCGGGTGATGGAGAGTGAATAACTGTACAGATAACACCATAAGTAAAGATAAGATTCACGTGTGTTCGACCACGGAAAGGCGAGAAGTCGTAGCCGATTTCAGTGACCAGGTTGTCACATGAGCGTAGGCTGCAGGTTTATGCTGTGAACGTCGCCAAATAAAAAAGTTTCAAGCACCTCCCAGCAGAAACTCAAGTTCCAGGTCAGAAGGACAATCATCGTCCTCAAAAAGGAAGACTGGCTAGCAGCCAACCGGAGCCCGCGATGATATAAGATAAAATGACACATACAGTAGCCTACATAACACAGTGTTCACACTCACCCCGTCCACAGAACGAACTCGATATTGTCGCCATGTTTGCTTTTCATCGCCTTGGCGGCAGACTCGACCAGGTCCCACGGCGAGTCGCAGTTATGATCTCCGAAGCGGCCCGCGGGCCTGCTGTTGCCAACCGCGCCACCAAGCTTGTTCTCTGTGCGCCGGCAGGCTATACGCACAAAAACGATTTATTTAGCAAATAGAATAACAGTCGACTGCAGTCACATTAACATAAAAATTCAAATTATCATAAAATCACTCAAAGGTTTGGCTTGAATTCATCACTCAGCTGCTACCTGAATTTCGGAACATAATTTTAGTTCCCTGATTTGCTGGGCACGCTGTATGCCAACTTACGTTCTGCGTTTCTGTACGTCGATTACACGTCGTAATACAATGATTGAAAAAAAAAAACACTCAAGTAGGTAAACTGCAGAGTTTGAAGTTTAAACAACCAACAAAAGTTCTGTTCCACACTACTTATACTCTTCTATCACAATCCATCAATCTTCATTAATTATACTTAGAGCTATAAAATCTGTGCAACTGACAGATGTTTGTAAAATATGTATATTTTATTACAAACATTTGCTCTCCGAGACTCTCCTTCATCTAGATTTAGTAGTACAGCTTCAGAGGTGTGCAAATAAAGTCAAACTCAGGGGAATAAAAGTTCTTGATGTAATGTTTCTGTAAACCTCAGCGCGATATACCTACATAGTACTTAAGTTAAGCTACAGACAGAACACTGCCAACATTTTTAAAAGACGTATACTGCAGATAAAGAGATTTATCCTTGCTGTTTAACTAAGCACCACCCCAGAGATAAAGCTACACACGTTCTTAATCATGACACAAGACGGGAAACAGCAGTTACCTTTCCTCAATGGCCCTTTATCCCCAAGGAAGGAGCCCTTGTACTATCGGATACGAGGCTGGGTGAGCCTCAGTGTCTGAAATCAGACCCCAGACGTCCAACCCGCTGTTTAGCACCACCGATATTGAGAAGGCAAATACAAAATTTTCGTTTGGTCGAGGAAACTGTGATATAGATGGGGTGTAGCGCCGTGTAGTCTGACATAGAGCAGTAGACGCCACTGCCATAACTTTCCTACACTTATGCCTTCCATAATTGTAAGCAGATCTACCAGACTACACAGCGCAACAACCCAGAAAACAGACATCTTCAGTCTCACCGCCGTGAAAACCTCAAATCATACTATACGCCACTTAAATTAAAAATGCAGTCTATTAATAATATCTTCGCGTTGTGCCATTGCGATACGATACTCACATTTTCGGATGTCGCCTGATACTGAATAATGGACGTCATAGTGAATGTCAGTTATATGCCAGAAGTATCCTGAAACAAAGAGAAAAGATTTCATGTTAATATCGCAATTTTCAGAACCTGATTTCCAGGGATTGCTAAATCCTGAGGATCGGATCAGTTCTCGGGACAATCCATAAATGTGTATCTGCATAGGGAGACGGATTAGACCACTGGATAAAATCCAGATTTCAGGGAATAAGGCAAGAAACAGGTTTATGGCATCCGTACACATACATACATACATACATATATACGTACTTACATACATCTCTGAGCGGGATTAGGACGAATGATACTGGTGATACTTTGACTAAAAATCTTATGGCACATTTTTCTGTCACAATAAACACAAATATGTCGCATCTGAAGCATATTTATATATGTTACAGTGAAAACTGTTATAATATTCTTGCTCTGGGATACATTTAAGCAATTCTAACACAGTTCACAGCTTAACTTCGTACGTCGTGAATGCGGACACATAATAAGTGGAAAGATAAAATGACATCCCGTCAGTCTCACGCGGAGAACTTCCCTTAAGCGTGGTTCACACGACGTCTGTTTCTTACGACAAATCAACAAGAAGTCAGGTTGTCAGTAAAATAAAAATACGGGTAAAATATTTTATATTGCCTTTATTTGTTCAGAATTTCACAAATTCTTTGTCACAATTATGTGCTCGTTGCAAAGACACAGACTTTCCTCTTATCTCTGCGTTATCTGTGTTCATGTCCACAACACGTTCTGCTGGTCGATACGCGAGGCTCATGGTATCGACAACCGAATCCAGCGTCCCCGACCGACATAAATATACGGGTAAGCCTATGTCTGTCTGCTTGCATTCACATTACATTTTCATGTTATAAATGGGTACAAATATTGGCCCACATTGTAAGCCTCGGTAATGGTTTAGCGCCTGTAATTCATATCACTGAATTCAGATTCCAAATGCAAATATTTCATTCCATTTAGAATTTATTTAAACGTGATTCAGGAGTCAGAATGCATTTCCACGACACACCAGAGAAAAACATTTAATTAATTATTAAAATTTACTCTATGCTGTTGATACAGTATCATTAAATAAGCCAAGAAAGAATATTATCCTTTCGTCTGACTGTGCATTTTAAGTTGGAACCTTGGAAGAGGCGTCTCTACTTTAGGCCCAAGTCTCAGTGTATTGGTACCCATCTGAGTTACGAGTGGAGGAAGAACGAAGGAAAGAACGCCTGTCATAATGTCCTTAATTTTACCGCAGTACCAACAATACATCAGCTGTATATATCATACAATTCTCCGATGTGAATTACCCTCCATTCCACAATTACTTCTTATCTTAAAAACGTGCACCCAAAGTCATTGAAAAGACAGTAAGGACATTCGAAGCTCTGAGACCAGCTGCATAGCTGTAAGCGGTAGTCTGAAGTACATAATAATGCAAACTTGCAGGATAAATCCTTGGATTTATCCAGAGCGGGCTGAGTCTCTCCTCCCCAGACTTTCCAGTGATATTAATCCTTCAGTTGTTATTCAACTCTTGCGCACAATATTTTAAAGCGACGTTAGGATTATGAACACATAAGTATCACCATAAAAGTAATCAGCTACCGATGTTTATCTGCAGGAAAAAATATAAAACCCTGCAAAAGAAACTTAAAGAGTAACCCCTAACTTAGTTTCGGATTCACTAGAATTGACACGACTAATGTCTTACCAGAATGCAAGTTATAATTTTACTCCATACTAAAATCGAAAGGCTAATTAGGTATTTGATATGAGCTGTTCCTTGTTCAGAATACAATTATTAATTTGGCAGAACAAATTGCAAATTTCATGCTCACCGTGCTAATAAAACACAGACAATGGTCATTATTATGAATCCCAATGCACCTTAACAGCTTAACGTAACAAGAGGTTCCGAGGTTCATATTTGGAACAGACGGCGCGGATTCTGGCGAACGTCTACACTACCTCCGGTAACGTAACGTTACGTAATATCCTTTGACGTTCACTGAACACTGGAACGGGTGAGCTGCGAACCGAACTGGAGCGAATGTTTCAGGAACATCGTCCGCATATGCGTATTCGCTGTTACGTTACAGCAGAAATCAAAAATGCGACCCGGCTTGATACGTATGAGATGAGAAATGTACACAACATTTTGGTTGGAGGAGACCTCTCAAAAGATCTAGGTGAAAATTACAAAAAAAAAATGTTTAAACAAATTCTTGGGAAACAAGGTGGGAGGATGTGGAACAGTTCCATCTATTTCGGGAAGAATCTTCGGGTTTGATGAAAGGTAAGGAATGTATTGGAAACTGCAAGGAAGAATATTTTTTTTTATTTAGTGTTCTGTCTGACGACAGTTCCATATGAACAGGATCCTTCGATCCTTTTCTCGGACTGGGACCTTTTCATATACGTTCTTGGCAGATGATCCAGCAGTGGTTTGCCATTGCCTTCTTCTGTGTGTGAATGGAGTAATTGTTGGGATGCCACGGAGAAACCGGGGAAGCCCCCGGAGGAAAACTCCGTGTTGCCTAGACCACGGCCTTGCCCAACACAAGTTATAAATTCGGGCACCGCCGGGAATCGAACCCGAGACCCCAGGATTACAAGGCCAGCGTTCTGACCGCTAGACCACCGTGGGATACGTACCTTACAAATACATAATTATCTGAGAATTTTTTTTTAATATTATCCTCAAATCTATGTCTCGATAGCTGAAGTGGTCTCTTACTGTAAGGTTCAGCCACAAAAACTGTGCATTAATTTTTGGTTATGATCGTATTTTAATCATGCTACAGAAGGATCAGAGTTTCGCACGGCGGTGAATACCAAGATGGCTGGCTGTGTTCTGAGTTGTAGCGCGTAGCCTAGTAGAAGTTTCCTCAACAGGGCGTAGCACAAACTGTTTTTACACTCACTTCAAGAAGCAGTCTGCAAGAACCGTCTTGCAATATTCATTAACACTGCTTGAGAGCCGAAATCCTTGTTTACTTTCTATAATCCAAGAAAGTGAGAACACTTCCTGCGGGTGATAAATCAACACTTTTCAAAGAAACTCGATAACTGATACGACCAAACAACAAACTCTCTCCTCCATGTCGTCAGTTGAAGACGCAGTTCCGTGTTCTTATTTTTATATTTGTTTATTAAAGCAAAGCAAAAATAAAGAATCCCCTGGCATTCTGGTCTCGTACAGAAATGTCATACTTCATCCTCTTTCTGCTTTGCCTTTATTTTTCATTTCTACCCTCGTAAGTCACATTCTTCGCATGATGATGACAGATGACGACGGTAGACAAATTGGTAGAATTTTTAAAGCAATGCAAGTTCCCTCGCTCCACTTTATAACCGAGTTCAAAAGAAATACATTAATGTTTTATGGTTTTACATTTGCCCTTCTGATACTTGGAGAACAGCAGAGATATTTATATATCAGCTGACAAATGAAATGTTCGCGTCAACATTCCAATTGATACATACCTGGAAGGACGGTTAAAAAAAAAGCGATGGGAGATGGTAGAGAAATGCATACAAAATTTTAGTCAGAAAACGTGAAGAAACATTGGAATCTTTGTTTTCCGACCACAAACCAAATAAAATTAAAGAACTATAAAAGGTATGATTTAAACAGAGTTTTTAACAATTTATAAAATACAGACACTTCCAAACATTTGTATGTTGGTATACGCAATTGCAATATGACGATTCCTTAAGTACGTCCTAACGAACTGAAGAAAGTATATTGTACCTTGGTTAATAATAAAGGTTCAAAGATCATGTCAAATACCACGAGTTTCATTTTAACTCGTTTATATGGAAAATAATAAACGTATTACAACACAAGTAACATCGTTAAAAAAAACAACAAAACAAGACATACTGTTTCCTGAAATTTCGCAGTCCAAATATGTACTTTAAGTTTGAAATTTGCAGTGACCGAAAAATTCGTCAGAATACAGTCGAATAAATTACGCTATAAATTGCGCGCCTATGAAAAATTTAATGAACATTTGGAGTTCATTCCCATTTAAAGCATTTCACGTAATGTGTAAATAAAATTTTAGTGCGTATTATAAAATGTTATCGTTTCAAAAGCTGGCAGTAGAATTCAGGACTGGGTGGGGTTGTTACAGCACAGGAAAGAGCTACGTTCCACGTGACCAGTTCTTACATACAAGTAAAAAAAATAATTAAAACGTGCAGTTTATTTATTACAACACAACAATTAATTTATCATATATATATATATAATAAATTTATTAATTATTAAACAGAGAATAATGCAAGTCACTCAACAAATTGTAAATAGTAGGAAATCTCAGGAGAATTGGGAATAGAGTTTGTGGGATAAACTGTAATATTATTAAAAAGGTACTAAAGATCAAAACAAGTGAAGTGCGACCGCATTCTCCAAATGTGACTGATTTAGACTACAGTCCGGCATACACAGGTATGTATTAGTATCACGTGTAATCTGAACATGCCAATTCACACGTAATCCACGCATTATAGTAGTCTGTTCTCAAAACAAAATACCATCCATAAACAAAATAACCCTTGAAATTTCAGTCCAATAATATAGGACCACTCTACTATCTTGCCCTGCGGAAATTTCGTACAAAGACAGATC